TGAAGGTTTTGTTAATTTTCCTTTCGATACCTGATCCACCCATGCAAAGGAGTTTGAATGACATTGGTATTCTTCAAGATTTGACTTTCGGATTACATATCCCGAAATATGTTCTAATGCATCATCCTGAAGAATAAAAATATCATTTAAATCCGTTTCATCTATTTCTGTAACCTCTGTGTTTTGAACCGCCATCAAATTTTCAAACCCATCATCTTGCCACGGTTGCGATATTTCGGTGAATCATTCCTCACGCCCATTTTGACTGAAACCAATCCATTCTGTTTCATCAACATCGACGTTGCCCGTTCCAGAAAGTAATTCAGTATTGCGCGCTAAAAATCAAAGAACTTATTTCTGTCTTCAATTTTATAGACGACTTACATATACTTACCCAAAATATATTTCCCTTTCTGGGTTTCAATAAACTTGCCAAAAGGTTCCCAACAATAAAGGATATAGATATGTTAATTTCGTAATTTATATGTTATCATACCTTCCCGGGTAAACCAAAAGTACTACAAGAGGAGTTGTGGATATCGAACCAATCATTTACTAATTGAATAAATTCAGCAGTATCTATTGCATTGTATATCTCGAACCCGAGGTAATAACACCTTTTGATAGCATTTGCTGTGGTGTTGGAGAAAAGTTGGGTCGCCAATTTCTCTTTTTGCCTTCCTAAATCGTATGTTAATAAAGCATTAATTATTTATAAACGTTTAGCTGTATACCTGCTCCCTTAACAGAGAGATGTTCTTCGCTTAATTTATATGTTTTGGATGTATCATTTTTATTAGTGAACTTCAACAAATATGTTATTGTCCTTGAAGTAATAAATCGATTATTAATTACGAGTCCGGTGTCAAGGTATTGATTTCGGATTAGCTTTACAAGATGGGGAACATCAGCAAAAGCAAATACTTTTTCCGTTGACTTTGTGGGATGAGAAAACCATGGTTTTTCTTGTAAAAAAATAGTATAAAAACAGAAAAAACTATTGTTACTAACATATATCTTTTTCAATTGTAATTCGAAACATTTTATTTGTAACTCGAGAATGTCATTTGTAATTCGTTAATTTTCAATTGAAATCCGAGAAATTCATTTGTAATTCGAAACATATCCATTTTTATACCCTACACCACATAGTAGTAAGGGTATTATGTCTTTGTGCATTTGTTTGTAACATGGAGAAGGAAGCGAAATAGACACATAGTAACTTTTGTTGGTTTTCAAATCTCCCACTTTCGGAATAAGCACTCTACAATAATGATATTTTGTATGAGATATATCATAGAGCTCAGAAATGCTCAATATAAACATTTTTTAGAAGAGCTCTACTAAATATGCATAGTGGTGTAGGGTATCATATAGTCGGCCACGCTCGACTTTTTCTTATTGGTTTTAATATTACTATGAACCAAAACTCCATTCAAGAGCTATCGTGCGCACAGATGGACGGGTATAGCACACTTACCTGGCGTTATGTCGAAATATCGCCACAACTTTCGGTTCGATGGTCCCATGTCGCAGACCACAGCGACCACAGGATAACCAGAATTATCTAGTACACATATTATCTGTAGTAAAAGTTCTCTCGTCATCATGCAATCAAAACCATAAAATACAGGTTGCTGCCATCCATTTTTTATCCCACTGGCCATTACGACTTGCACATAATTTGCCGGTTTCCGAACAACATCATTATGCAAGTCGTATTCGTACGTCTCAGCGATTTTCATTTCATCGAAAGATAGAATACAAATTTTTTCATCTAATGTCATATAATTCACTTGCCGCATAAACTCGATCGATGACAACAAAATCCCTTCCTTGACATTAATTTTCGAACACCAGTTATTGAGCGTGGATATGCTGGGAAGAGGATGCCCCTTTTGATTAATTATTTATTTTCATTCCGCAGATGTCTTAAAAGCTGAACATTTTTTCAATATCCGCTGCAAAAATTACAGGACTGAAACAAATACAACCAGGAAAAAATCAGGATACAAAAAGTTAGAACGCAATAGTTTCCAGCAGAAGCGGGGCACATCGGCAAAAAATATAAAAGTTCCTTAAGTAGATAACGTACAGTTTTGGAAAGATACTACTAGATTTGGGCAAAATTTTGTAAACATTTAAGAACGGAATTTTTGTAATATACCATTTGTGGCGATCAAAATCTTAATTTTATAAGGGATTGTTAGGAAACCCGTAGTTAGCATTTTGTTAGAATCATGTTTTCTATCAAGTAAATAATTCACTTTTTTTCAAAATTTAGAATTTGTGGGGAACTTTTTAAAGGAGTGAGCCCATATCTTCCATCTATTTTGGTAGTGAGACGGATATCGTTACATCATGAAATGCAGAGACATGGTTGGACCTCATGTCAAAGTTTTTCTTTTATGAGATAAATTTTGTATACATTGGTGTATCCACCCCGTAGCTATTAGAATAACTAACATTCTTCAAATAGCCTTATGCGGGGTAGGGTATATTTGACTTAAAGTATTACTCTGTTTGAGTCTCCTGATCTTTTGATGTGTTGGTTTTTTGAGCTAGGTTTTCAATAAGAGTGCATGATTCCGTTTCTGTTTTGTCAATAATAATCTTATCGTGAACATTTACTTGTGTATCGTCAGGTTTCATATATCTATAATGTAAAAATAGGAATATATTTGAAATTTATTCTCTACCATTGCTTACGGGCTCAATTGCGGAGTCCGAGTTCTGGCATAGCCATTGACTGCACCACATAAGCCTTATTGAAATGGTCTGTGCAAACTTTTGATGTAGCTGCAAATTTGATTTGACACATTTGACTCCACTTTTCTCTGGTGTTTTCATCTCTGGGAACAGAGAAAAAGTTCAGTGCCTTTCCAGGCTCTTCTTTTCTTTTGCATATCTTGCAAATTCTCATTGTCAATTCACGCACACAAGTTAACAAAGAGAAGAATCAAATTTAAAAAAAATATCTTTCTATTTGTTTTTAAAATTTGACAAAATTAACTGACAGTAAATAACGGACAAGTAATTATTGACATCTTTGTTGACAGGCGAATTCAAATAATGTTGACAGAAAATGAAGGTATCAGCTGGTCTTACTTGTCGATCTTATAATTGGGCCATGGACTATATTTAATAGTTCCGGCGGATTAACCCATAGTAGAAGAATACAGGTAGATGCAGCAATGCTTGGGTACATTGGCATGCCAAAATTTTTTAAATGTTTTGTCAAAACTAAGTAGATTTTTATATGTATTCTTATACGGTGCAAATCGGTGGTTGATATGTGGTTGATATGTATTTTTCAACAATTTTTACAAATTTCAATAATTTTTAATACAACATTTTCATTTCCAAAATTGGATTGATAATTCATTGTCCCACCAGCGACTACCTGTATTCTTCTACACACGGTTTACTCATGGTAGCAAAATACAGGTAGAAGGACGTAGCTAAATCGACATAGAATTTTATGCCGTCTAGCTACGAACTGGGTGGAGCGGAATAGTTTAATCACCCGTCCGAGGGAGTTTTTACTCCCTCATATAAAACGTCCAAAAAACTATGAATTTCAAATGAGAGTAAAGATCCTAACGAGTATTTTAGCATATAAAATGTTCTCCAAATCAGCTTTTGGTAGAACAAATTTTCCAATTTTCTGATATTCCATGGTGGTCAGGACGAAATATGGCTGTGGAAGCCTTCATATAAAAATGTCAGAAAAAAATATTGTAATTGGAACTAAATGTAAAATTTAATTGAAAATTTTTAATACATTTTTTAACAAACACATCGATTTAGGACTTATTTGGCCAAGATCATCATATATGGGGGTGAGTTTGGTATCGGATATGCGAATTTTATCAATGGCAGCGGACAGTGTTGTAAGACCTAGAATGCAGCGAGGCTGACCAACTATTACATTTGTAAACTGATGACAGAGTTCGTAATCTAAAATATAAGACAAATAGTAAGAAATCAAAAATTGATTGAGACATAGGTACTCACAGAAAATTTGTCGTATTTCTGAAACAAATGCATGGGCGGATCAGGTCAATGCAAATTGCAAACTCTCACCATTTTTGAAAAGTAATTTTCTTATCTTTTTATAGCCTTTACCATAGTATGGAGGGTATATAAGATTTGTCACCTCGAAATAAACATTTTAGACTATATTATGTATATTCTTGATCAGCATAAAATTCTATGTCGATTTAGCTACGTCCTTCTAGTTATTCTAATAGCTACGGGGTTGATACACCAATGTATATAACGGACAAGTAATTATTGACATCTTTGTTGACAGGCGAATTCAAATAATGTTGACAGAAAATGAAGGTATCAGCTGGTCTTACTTGTCGATCTTATAATTGGGCCATGGACTATATTTAATAGTTCCGGCGGATTAACCCATAGTAGAAGAATACAGGTAGATGCAGCAATGCTTGGGAACATTGGCATGCCAAAATTTTTTAAATGTTTTGTCAAAACTAAGTAGATTTTTATATGTATTCTTATACGGTGCAAATCGGTGGTTGATGTGTGGTTGATATGTATTTTTCAACAATTTTTACAAATTTCAATAATTTTTAATACAACATTTTCATTTCCAAAATTGGATTGATAATTCATTGTCCCACCAGCGACTACCTGTATTCTTCTACACACGGTTTACTCATGGTAGCAAAATACAGGTAGAAGGACGTAGCTAAATCGACATAGAATTTTATGCCGTCTAGCTACGAACTGGGTGGAGCGGAATAGTTTAATCACCCGTCCGAGGGAGTTTTTACTCCCTCATATAAAACGTCCAAAAAACTATGAATTTCAAATGAGAGTAAAGATCCTAACGAGTATTTTAGCATATAAAATGTTCTCCAAATCAGCTTTTGGTAGAACAAATTTTCCAATTTTCTGATATTCCATGGTGGTCAGGACGAAATATGGCTGTGGAAGCCTTCATATAAAAATGTCAGAAAAAAATATTGTAATTGGAACTAAATGTAAAATTTAATTGAAAATTTTTAATACATTTTTTAACAAACACATCGATTTAGGACTTATTTGGCCAAGATCATCATATATGGGGGTGAGTTTGGTATCGGATATGCGAATTTTATCAATGGCAGCGGACAGTGTTGTAAGACCTAGAATGCAGCGAGGCTGACCAACTATTACATTTGTAAACTGATGACAGAGTTCGTAATCTAAAATATAAGACAAATAGTAAGAAATCAAAAATTGATTGAGACATAGGTACTCACAGAAAATTTGTCGTATTTCTGAAACAAATGCATGGGCGGATCAGGTCAATGCAAATTGCAAACTCTCACCATTTTTGAAAAGTAAGTTTCTTATCTTTTTATAGCCTTTACCATAGTATGGAGGGTATATAAGATTTGTCACCTCGAAATAAACATTTTAGACTATATTATGTATATTCTTGATCAGCATAAAATTCTATGTCGATTTAGCTACGTCCTTCTAGTTATTCTAATAGCTACGGGGTTGATACACCAATGTATATAACGGACAAGTAATTATTGACATCTTTGTTGACAGGCGAATTCAAATAATGTTGACAGAAAATGAAGGTATCAGCTGGTCTTACTTGTCGATCTTATAATTGGGCCATGGACTATATTTAATAGTTCCGGCGGATTAACCCATAGTAGAAGAATACAGGTAGATGCAGCAATGCTTGGGAACATTGGCATGCCAAAATTTTTTAAATGTTTTGTCAAAACTAAGTAGATTTTTATATGTATTCTTATACGGTGCAAATCGGTGGTTGATGTGTGGTTGATATGTATTTTTCAACAATTTTTACAAATTTCAATAATTTTTAATACAACATTTTCATTTCCAAAATTGGATTGATAATTCATTGTCCCACCAGCGACTACCTGTATTCTTCTACACACGGTTTACTCATGGTAGCAAAATACAGGTAGAAGGACGTAGCTAAATCGACATAGAATTTTATGCCGTCTAGCTACGAACTGGGTGGAGCGGAATAGTTTAATCACCCGTCCGAGGGAGTTTTTACTCCCTCATATAAAACGTCCAAAAAACTATGAATTTCAAATGAGAGTAAAGATCCTAACGAGTATTTTAGCATATAAAATGTTCTCCAAATCAGCTTTTGGTAGAACAAATTTTCCAATTTTCTGATATTCCATGGTGGTCAGGACGAAATATGGCTGTGGAAGCCTTCATATAAAAATGTCAGAAAAAAATATTGTAATTGGAACTAAATGTAAAATTTAATTGAAAATTTTTAATACATTTTTTAACAAACACATCGATTAAGGACTTATTTGGCCAAGATCATCATATATGGGGGTGAGTTTGGTATCGGATATGCGAATTTTATCAATGGCAGCGGACAGTGTTGTAAGACCTAGAATGCAGCGAGGCTGACCAACTATTACATTTGTAAACTGATGACAGAGTTCGTAATCTAAAATATAAGACAAATAGTAAGAAATCAAAAATTGATTGAGACATAGGTACTCACAGAAAATTTGTCGTATTTCTGAAACAAATGCATGGGCGGATCAGGTCAATGCAAATTGCAAACTCTCACCATTTTTGAAAAGTAAGTTTCTTATCTTTTTATAGCCTTTACCATAGTATGGAGGGTATATAAGATTTGTCACCTCGAAATAAACATTTTAGACTATATTATGTATATTCTTGATCAGCATAAAATTCTATGTCGATTTAGCTACGTCCTTCTACCTGTATTTTGCTACCATGAGTAAACCGTGTGTAGAAGAATACAGGTAGTCGCATCGACGCAGCTGGTGGGACAATGAATTATCAATCCAATTTTGGAAATGAAAATGTTGTATTAAAAATTATTGAAATTTGTAAAAATTGTTGAAAAATACATATCAACCACATATCAACCACCGATTTGCACCGTATAAGAATACATATAAAAATTTACTTAGTTTTGACAAAACATTTTAAAAATGTTGGCATTGCTGCATCTACCTGTATTCTTCTACTATGGGTTAATCCGCCGGAACTATTAAATATAGTCCATGGCCCAATTATAAGATCGACAAGTAAGACCAGCTGATACCTTCATTTTCTGTCAACATTATTTGAATTCGCCTGTCAACAAAGATGTCAATAATTACTTGTCCGTTATTTACTGTCAGTTAATTTTGTCAAATTTTAAAAACAAATAGAAAGATATTTTTTTTAAATTTGATTCTTCTCTTTGTTAACTTGTGTGCGTGAATTGACAATGAGAATTTGCAAGATATGCAAAAGAAAAGAAGAGCCTGGAAAGGCACTGAACTTTTTCTCTGTTCCCAGAGATGAAAACACCAGAGAAAAGTGGAGTCAAATGTGTCAAATCAAATTTGCAGCTACATCAAAAGTTTGCACAGACCATTTCAATAAGGCTTATGTGGTGCAGTCAATGGCTATGCCAGAACTCGGACTCCGCAATTGAGCCCGTAAGCAATGGTAGAGAATAAATTTCAAATATATTCCTATTTTTACATTATAGATATATGAAACCTGACGATACACAAGTAAATGTTCACGATAAGATTATTATTGACAAAACAGAAACGGAATCATGCACTCTTATTGAAAACCTAGCTCAAAAAACTAACACATCAAAAATCAGGAGACTCAAACAGAGTAATACTTTAAGTCAAATATACCCTACCCCGCATAAGGCTATTTGAAGAATGTTAGTTATTCTAATAGCTACGGGGTTGATACACCAATGTATACAAAATGTATCTCATAAAAGAAAAACTTTGACATGAGGTCCAACCATGTCTCTGCATTTCATGATGTAACGATATCCGTCTCACTACCAAAATAGATGGGAGATATGGGCTCACTCCTTTAAAAAGTTCCCCACAAATTCTAAATTTTGAAAAAAAGTGAATTATTTACTTGATAGAAAACATGATTCTAACAAAATGCTAACTACGGGTTTCCTAACAATCCCTTATAAAATTAAGATTTTGATGGCCACAAATGGTATATTACAAAAATTCCGTTCTTAAATGTTTACAAAATTTTGCCCAAATCTAGTAGTATCTTTCCAAAACTGTACGTTATCTACTTAAGGAACTTTTATATTTTTTGCCGATGTGCCCCGCTTCTGCTGGAAACTATTGCGTTCTAACTTTTTGTATCCTGATTTTTTCCTGGTTGTATTTGTTTCAGTCCTGTAATTTTTGCAGCGGATATTGAAAAAATGTTCAGCTTTTAAGACATCTGCGGAATGAAAATAAATAATTAATCAAAAGGGGCATCCTCTTCCCAGCATATCCACGCTCAATAACTGGTGTTCGAAAATTAATGTCAAGGAAGGGATTTTGTTGTCATCGATCGAGTTTATGCGGCAAGTGAATTATATGACATTAGATGAAAAAATTTGTATTCTATCTTTCGATGAAATGAAAATCGTTGAGACGTACGAATACGACTTGCATAATGATGTTGTTCGGAAACCGGCAAATTATGTACAAGTCGTAATGGCCAGTGGGATAAAAATGGATGGCAGCAACCTGTATTTTATGGTTTTGATTGCAAGATGACGAGAGAACTTTTACTACAGATAATATGTGTACTAGATAATTCTGGTTATCCTGTGGTCGCTGTGGTCTGCGACATGGGATCATCGAACCGAAAGTTGTGGCGATATTTCGACATAACGCCAGGTAAGTGTGCTATACCCGTCCATCTGTGCGCACGATAGCTCTTGAATGGAGTTTTGGTTCATAGTAATATTAAAACCAATAAGAAAAAGTCGAGCGTGGCCGACAATATGATACCCTACACCACTATGCATATTTAGTAGAGCTCTTCTAAAAACGGTTTATATTGAGCATTTCTGAGCTCTATGATATATCTCATACAAAATATCATTATTGTAGAGTGCTTATTCCGGAAGTGGGAGATTTGAAAACCAACAAAAGTTACTATGTGTCTATTTCGCTTCCTTCTCCATGTTACAAACAAATGCACAAAGACATAATACCCTTACTACTATGTGGTGTAGGGTATAAAAATGGATATGTTTCGAATTACAAATGAATTTCTCGGATTTCAATTGAAAATTAACGAATTACAAATGACATTCTCGAGTTACAAATAAAATGTTTCGAATTACAATTGAAAAAGATATATGTTAGTAACAATAGTTTTTTCTGTTTTTATACTATTTTTTTACAAGAAAAACCATGGTTTTCTCATCCCACAAAGTCAACGGAAAAAGTATTTGCTTTTGCTGATGTTCCCCATCTTGTAAAGCTAATCCGAAATCAATACCTTGACACCGGACTCGTAATTAATAATCGATTTATTACTTCAAGGACAATAACATATTTGTTGAAGTTCACTAATAAAAATGATACATCCATAACATATAAATTAAGCGAAGAACATCTCTCTGTTAAGGGAGCAGGTATACAGCTAAACGTTTATAAATAATTAATGATTTATTAACATACGATTTAGGAAGGTAAAAAGTGAAATTGGCGACCCAACTTTTCTCCAACACCTCAGCAAATGCTATCAAAAGGTGTTATTCCCTCGGGTTTGAGATATACAATGCAATAGATACTGCTGAATTTATTCAATTAGTAAATGATTGGTTCGATATCCACAACTCCTCTTGTAGTACTTTTGGTTTACCCGGGAAGGTATGATAACATATAAATTACGAAATTAACATATCTATATCCTTTATTGTTGGGAACCTTTTGGCAAGTTTATTGAAACCCAGAAAGGGATATTAGAAAGAATGTACCAAGTTATGTGTAGTCCAATCGTGCCCAATAAAACTCGACTTGAAATCTTCCAGAAAGGAATTCTTATTTCCAATAATGCTTTGATACAGTTGTACGACCACTTACAGAAGTACAACGTGGAGTATCTATTGACAAGGCACCTGAACCAATACGTTCTTGAACATTTTTTTGGTTCAATGAGGAGTAAAGTGGGAACGACCATCCAACTCCTCAGGATTTCAAATTTCGTATCAGAAAATACATTTTGGGTAAGTATATGTAAGTCGTCTATAAAATTGAAGACAGAAATAAGTTCTTTGATTTTTAGCGCGCAATACTGAATTACTTTCTGGAACGGGCAACGTCGATGTTGATGAAACAGAATGGATTCAGTCAAAATGGGCGTGAGGATCAACCATTCACCGAAATATCGCAACCGTGGCAAGATGATGGGTTTGAAAATTTGATGGCGGTTCAAAACGCAGAGGTTACAGAAATAGATGAAACGGATTTTAATGATATTTTTATTCTTCAGGATGATGCATTAGAACATATTTCGGGATATGTAATCCGAAAGTCAAATCTTGAAGAATACCAATGTCATTCAAACTCCTTTGCATGGGTGGATCAGGTATCGAAAGGAAAATTAACAAAACCTTCAGAGCCTTTCCTGTAAAGAATAAAAAAATGGATATGATTTTTAATAAAATGAATGGCATTACCATATCGGAATCCCCAACAATTCGAAAGAAGTTGATAGGTGAAAGTAGCTGCATAGATTTGCCCCCTCATGTCAAGGACTTCTTTTTCAAATGCCGAATTTTTTTTGGAGTGCGACTTTTGAACAAAGTTTTAAAAATAAACAAGTTAATAAGCAGTAAGTTAGGCCGGGCCGAACTTTTAATACCCTCCACCATTTGCAACGAATTTGGAAATTTTCAAAAAATAAAATCCTTAAAAAATTCTGTTAAAATTTTAAAAATACCGAATATAGCCGTTATATTGGGGTCTATACGACGTGGACATACATATGCATTGTTTGTCATAAGCCATTACCATATTCAAATTCGAAACTGGGCCCGCACCGACAATTTTCTGTCACAGACTGTAGTTCCCATAACGAACTTCAAATACCAAATTTTAAACAATTCAAAATACCGAACATAGCGAGGTGCCGTTATATGGGGGCTATACGAAGACGTGGACCTGCACAGACAATTTTCTATCTTAGGGTGTAGTATCCATTTGGAACTTCAAATACCAAATTTGAAACAATTCCGGCGAATAACGTCGCTAAAATCATCAAAATACCGAATATAGGGGTGTTACCGTTATATGGGAGCTATATGAAAACGTGGACCTACATGGCCCATTTACGAACTTAACCTGCCTACTGGAAAAATAAACATATGTGCAAAATTTTAGCCATCTATCTCAATTCATTCGAAAGATAGCGTGATTACAACAGACAGACAGACGGACATACAGACAGACAGACAGACGGACATCGCTAAATCGACTTAGAATTTTACGCTGATCAAGAATATATATACTTTGTTGGGTCTGACATGAGTATTTCGAGGAGTTACAAACGGAATGACAAAGTTAATATACCCTCAATAGTATGGTGGAGGGTATAAAAAGGCTAAGCAGAGATTTACGGTTTAAAAAAAAAACGTAAAAAAATATTTGTAAAGAATTAGTATTTATCCTTAATATATGTAACAACATTTCGATTAACAACATTAAAAAAAACTACATTCGTCGTCTTTCAAAACAATGAAATAAAAGCAAAGATTCTCGTGAGACATTGAGTGTCAATACCGTTTGATGTGGGACTTCAGCAAAAACAAATTGGTGAAGCAGCATTCAGACCTTCAGAGGCTACTTCTGGCACAGCAAACTTGCCAATAAAATTTAAAGAAAATATCCATAAATGCGAGTTGCTTTTATTGTATTTCACATACACAAACATTTCCAAAATAAACAAAGCAGAAATTCGCTGCAATGTTATTCTGTCAAGGCGAAATACTTTTTTTTCGCCCTAATAAAGAAATTTTGACAATACATGTAGGTGAAGGGTTGTATTTTTTTGCACATTCTCTTTCTGGTCGACCTTGGGCCATGATATAGTCTAAACCATGTTATAATTATTACAGGTAGCAGCAAGTCCCAACTGATTTGACTCTATAGTAATACTAGTGTCAAGCTCAATACATGTAGGTGAAGGGTTGTATTTTTTTGCACATTCGCTTTCTGGTCGACCTTATAATTGGGCCATGATATAGTCTAAACCATGGTATAATTGTTACAGGTAGCAGCAAGTCCCAACTGATTTGACTCTATAGTAATACTAGTGTCAAGCTCAGTACGTTTGTGATTTTATTCCATTTCTTGATATACAATAGGTATACCATTTTTAAATATAAAATTTATCTGCAGGGCAATGTAAACATTTTTGGCTTATAATAATAGAAAAAATCGCCCTTGTACTTAACAAAACGCCAACTGCGATGGTTAAAAAGTTGTGACACCCCATTAAGCAACATAGTCGTATATTTCATGTTTCCTAAAATTGCAAAATGTAGAATACCTTATGTGTGTATGCAGTTTGCTTTCAATTTGAAGAGGATGTTGCTTTTTCCACGATTTTCTAGCGATTGCTTGAAGTGTTGAGAGATTAGGACATACAGCTAACAACTGTACATTCAGGGGAATTGTATGAAAACTTTCAAACTAAACAATTGAGGAAGTATTCTTCTGCATTTTAAATTTAATAATCCAAATTCCAAAATTGTATATTTGTGAAATTAAAAAAATTTATGGAAAATTAATTATTTTATTTACATTTTTGGACATATAACTCTGACACTTGTATTACGTACAAAAACAAATTTGTATGTGGTTGTTGTTACGATTGTTGTACAACAACACTTGCTGTTACCTGTATTTTTCTACCATGAGTCTAAACGTACCATTCATTGTACAATCATGTGTTCCATGGTAGAAGAATACGAATACGGTAGACGCATCGACACAGCTGTTGGGACAATGAAATGTCAAACCAATTTTAGAATTGAAAATGTTGAATAGAAAATTATTCATATTTTGTAAAAATTGCTGGAAAACGCGAATTATAATAATATCCGAATGACGTCGTATAAGAAAACGTATAAAATTTACTTATATTTGACAGACCATTTAAAATGTTTTGACATATCAATGTTCCCAAGCATCGATGCATCTACTTGTATTCTTCTACCAAGCGTGTGTTTTAACTCCAACGATAGGAGATTGAACAGCACAATATCTTAAATACTTAACGCCGTCATAAGAACTGCAATATCTATCAATATTACACGGCGACAATCGCATAGACCAACATTGCCTCGTCTGTTCTGTTCTGTTTTCGCCTTTTGTTATAGAATTTATAACCTATCTATCTATTTCTATAATATAGATCGAAAACAAATATTATTATTAGAACACATGCATGGTAGAAGAATACAGGTAGATGCAGTGAAAGTATAATAGTATTTCTTACATTTTAGATTACGAACTCTGTCATCAGTTTACAAATGTAATGGTTGATCAGCCTCGCTGTATTCTAGGTCTTACAACACTGTCCGCTGGCATTGATAAAATTCGCATATCCGATACTCAACTTACCCCATACATGCTGACCTTTGCCAGATAAGTTATAAATCGATGTGTTTATTAAATTTTTTTTTACAAAAAGTGTCAAATTTAGAAAACTTTGGTTCGAGTTAGCCAGTGGGGGACATACTCAGAGGAGAAAATCCCACAGTTAAATTTGACACTTTTTGTAAATAGGCGACCTTCAACCGTGGCTTGGGATTTTCTCCTCTGGGTATGTCTCACACCGACTAACGCGAACCTAATTTTTTTAAATTGGATACCTTTTGTAAGTGGCCGGCCTTCGCCCGGGGCCAAGAAAAAAATAGTTTCCTGGAATCAGGGTAAAAATACCTACCGCTGGGAAAAATTTCGAAAAAATCGAAGAGTTTTCACTGAACTAGAGCTGTTCCTTAAATTTTAGTTTAGTTGCAATCACAATAGTTTTTTCTGACATTTTTATATGAAGGCTTCCAGAGGCAGATTTCCGTCCTGACCACCAGTGGAATATCAGAAAATTGGAAAATTTGTTCTACTTAAAACTGATTTGGAGCACATTTAGTATGCCAAAATACTCGTAAGGGCTTCCACTTTCTTTTGGCATTCACAGTTTTTGGGACGTTTTTAAATGGAGGCTTCCATAGCCAGGTTTCCGTCCTTGTTGTATCATAAACTGATTTGCGATGTTATGTATGGAATTAATAACTGGGGTATGAGAATTCTTTAGCGAACAACATTTGCTTATTTCATGGACTGTTTTCATTCATAGTTTTTTAAATAATTTTTTTTTTCTGACGCACAGTTGAAAAAATGTATTAAATGTGAAATTTCGATGTTCTGAGGCACCCTGTTTTTTGGTGAAACTCGATGTTATCGATAGTTAGCAACGTTGCTAACTTCACGCAGGTCTGAAATCTTATATTCAATAATATTTGTGTTAATCAAAATCCGCAAACAGGGACACGGCGTTTGCCATTTATTTGTGAAGTGCAAGAAAGTAAACCATGCTATATAATTTGAACGTAGCAATATAGATATTCTTATAGATTATAAGTTCGTTATAAAAAGTAGATAATTTTTAGAATAGAAAATACTCAGGTTTTACGAAATACATTAAATACACCCATCACCAACGAAACATAGCCCCTAAACACAACTTAAGCCCAGGGAGCAAGTTGAGTTTAGGGGCTATGCTCGGATCATTTTGAAATTTTTACCGCAGGTAGGTATTTGTAACCTGATTACGGCAATGTAATTTTTTTGTGGGGGAAATACCCGGTTACCCGGTTATTCGACCCAAAAGTTCGAATATAACATCCGGTTTGTATCCGGTTCTACGTAACCGATATCAATAAAATGGGTATCATTTGAAAGCTTATGAAAATACCTATCCAACAAGTGGTCATATGACGGGGTTGCTGGAACCGGTTTCGGAGAAATTTAGGAAAATTTGCATTTTTGTATGAGTACTTTTTGAAAAACCTATAAAAACTCGAAAACGGACCCATTATAGGGTCTTAAAATCTATACACTATATTATAGCTAACACTATTGCCTTTCCAAAATGGTGTCATATGTGTTGATATCTTTTGTGGTTCCGTGGATATAAGAGATAGAATTCATTAAATTATATTTTTCTCCAGTCTAGATGCATTTGACTTTGACCTTTATAGCTTTTTTAAGCAACCGGCCTTCGGCCGGGGCTTAAGATTTTCTCCTCTGGGGTATGTCCAACACCGGCTACGCGATCCACAGTTTTTCTAAAAATTGTACATTTTGTAAGTAGCCGGCCTTCGGCCGGGGCTTAAGATTTTCTCCTCTAGGGTATGTCCAACACCGGCTACGCGATCCATAGTTTTTCTAAAAATTGTAATTTTTGTAAGTAGCCGGCCTTCGGCCGGGGCTTAAGATTTTCTCCTCTAGGGTATGTCCAACACCAGCTACGCGATCCATAGTTTTTCTAAAAATTGTAATTTTGTAAGTAGCCGGCCTTCGGCCGGGGCTTAAGATTTTCTCCTCTGGGGTATGTCCAACACCGGCTACGCGATCAATAGTTTCCTAAAAACTGTAGTTTTCGAAAGTAGCCGGCCTTCGGCCGGGGCTTAAGATTTTCTCCTCTGGGGTATGTCCAACACCGGCTACGCGATCCATAGTTTTTCTAAAAATTGTAATTTTTGTAAGTAGCCGGCCTTCGGCCGTGGCTTAAGATTTTCTCCTCTGGGATATGTCCAACACCGACTACGCGATCCATAATATTCTAACAACACCAAATTAAAAACAAAGCAGATTAACAAGAACGTTAAACCCGACACAAAACTTGGGTTCACTCAAACTGCTTTCATAAGTAACGACTTTAAAAGTCAATATCTTCGGAACTACAAAAGATATCAACACATATGACACCATTTTGGAAAGGAATAGTGGAATATAGGAATAGTGTTAGCTATAATATTGTGTATAGATTTTAAGACCCTATAATGGGTCCATTTTCGAGTTTTTATGGGTTTTTCAAAAATTACTCATACAAAAATGCACATTTTCCTAAATTTCTCCGAAACAGGTTCCAATTACCCCGTCATATGACCACTTGTTGGATAGATATTTTCATAAGCTTTCAAATGATACCCATATTATTGATATCGGTTACGTAGAACCGGATATAAACCGGATGTTGTATCCGAACTTTTAGGTCGAATAACCGGGTAACCGGGTATTTCCCCCACAAAAAAATTATATTGCCGTAATCAGGTTACAAATACCTACCTGCGGTAAAAATTTCAGGTCAATCCAAGCATAGCCCCTAAACTCAACTTATGCCGGAACCGGTTCCGGAGTAATGCAAGAAAATTGGTATTTTTATACCAGTACTTTTTGAAAAACACATACAAAGTTGAAAATAGACCCATTATGGTGTATTAAGACCTACATGCTACATTAGAGCCTATATTCTTGCCTTTCCAAAATGGTATCATATGTGCTGATATCTCTTATAGTTCGAAAGATATATGTGATGCAAATTATGAGATTTTCTTCCCTGGGGTATATCCAACACCGGCTACGCGATCCATAGTTTTTCTATACATTCTAATTTTGGTAGGTAGCCGGTCTTCGGCCGGGGATTGAGATTTTCTCCTCTAGGGTATGTCCAACACTGGCTACGCGATATATAGTTTTTTCTTAACATTGTAAATTTGGTAAGTAGCCGGCCTTCGCCCGGAGCTTAAGGTTTCCTCCCCTGGGGTATGTCTTGCACCGGCTACGCGATCCATAGTTTTTCTAAACATTGTAAATTTGGTAAGTAGACGGCCTTCGGCCGGGGCTTGAGATTTTCTCCCCTGGGGTATGTCCTACACCGGCTACGCGATCCATAGTTTTTCTATACATAATTTTGGAAGGTAGCCGGCCTTCGGCCAGGGCTTGAGATTTTCTCCCCTGGGGTATGTCCAACACCAGCTACGCGATCCATATCCATAGCCGGGATTCGACTTTAAAGTCAATATCTTCGAAACTACAAAGCTAAGATACATATTAGTGGAGGAAATCTCAATTTCATGATTTGCAACACTAATATCTTCGGAAATACAAGAGATATCAATACCTATAGCACCTTTTTGGAAAGGACAGAGTGCAGGCTACAATGGGTTTTTCAAAAAGTTTGTTATGTGTGCATATGCTCGGCATACGATTAGGCCATCCGACTGTCACAGAGACTCCCAGGGCTAGGGATCTCAACCCGCCAATCGAATCCAACACACTAACATTGAAAGGGGACTTTACTACAATTGCTCTACTCTACGATATACAAAATAGGAGTCATCATACAGGGATCTCGGTGGATCGATCCCACACTCGCCCACCCTACCTGGATCCAGTATTTCCATTTCTTGCGTTTCTCTGAATCCCCTTGAACCACACGCTTCGAATCACACACTTACTTCATACCAACTTCCCCCCCAAGTTATACAAATTTAGCAACACATATTAGTATCTACTGTTTACAAAAGAATCATCTTTAATTTTATTAAAAAAAATAAGTTAGCTTTAAATATTTTCTTAATTTTTTTCTCTACTATTTTTTTTTTTACACTAAAATTGACAAACTGTATGGTTTATAAAAAAAAACAAATTAAGAATAATACCGGGCTTTCTTAAATCTATGGCTTTAATTACTCGGTAGAAACCAATATATTATCCTTTGCCTTGCTTTTCCCGCGCAATATTCACGCGTCTATACGAAATTACTAGCCACCTAAAAGAGCTCTCTTAACCGGCCTAATTGCCGCTAAAATTCCACGGCCTAAACTATCAGATCGAATCACAAGGACTCAAGATAATTTTACTGTAACACCTCCTAGCCTTTGAAAATAAACGCGGTATTTTTCCCTTACAAACTGATTATTACTTAAATCCTAAGAACTATAACCTATCTTATTACCAAATTTTTATACTGAATATTATAATTTTTTTTGTTACTCGAAATTTATGATTATTAACTCCTTTTTTTTTCTTTTCTTTTAGTTCCAAAAAAGGAGACAGCAAATTTTATGGACGTCACATATATATAAATATATCAAGGACAACACAACGGTAAGACACCTTTTACCTGAGCAGTGATTTATAACGTTATTGATTAATTCTTCTTATCTCTCCTTCCAGTTTACGCTTCTTTCCGGAGGAAACAGATTTTGAACGCCAGGCAAACCCTCAAATGAAGCTGGACTTGTTGACTGGTCCTTTTACAATGCCGGCGTTCTGGGCGGGATCAATACCCGGCACAGCAAAAAGCTCAAAGTTGCAGCTGGCCAGTTTACAATTCAAATCTCCACACCCTCAATGTAACTTTTTTTGGCTTTTTTTTCCTGTGGACAACTTGCCACTACCTTGCGTTACCAAAAAGAAAAGGCAATTTCCCGCCGTTGTGCTGACCAAAACCGGACAATTTTCGGTGCTTCCAAAAAAGCTTGATACACCACCGGAATATTCCTGTTGGAGCAACACACATCACATATAACAACACATTACTCAACAAACCACTGTTACAAACTACTTACACAATAAAAAAAATCGCAACACACAAATTAAATTTTTCCACTTCTGCACTGCTCTCTAGCTAAGTTTCACCGGTAACGTCTTATTCTTAACTTTGGCTTTTCTTATGCTCGCAGCCTTTTATACCCCTCTTCTCAGTGAATCCCGCCAGACGCTCATTTTCCACGAAACACCATTTTCCTGAGCCATTTTCAATTTTCATTCCTTTTTCTTTTCAACTGTCAATAGCCATTTTTTATTCTATTGTGAATTCTCATTTCACCTCACCCCTGAGTCTCTCATTTAAAAATCAACGGCTGTCTAACTATTCGCCCAACCCTTTTCACATACGTTACCAACTCGCCCAAACAACGCCAATTTCCTTTAACCTTATACGGCAGCGAGACATCAGCAAAAACATTTTAATATTTCTCTCGAAATCTTTTGTTTTTCTATTCTTCTGATATTTCTTAAATTTTTATTTCAACGTGCCGCTTTTTTTTTTTTTTTTCATAATCATTCATTCAAATTGTGTCTAAACAAATTTTGATCATATTTATAGTAGGTTCCCACCTACTCAGCAATCATAGGGCTGCCTAGTCACTTCTTAGCCTGAGTCACCCTGTCATTCACTACCTTTATAATACTCTTTTACTCAACCCTGTTCGAGTCTAATTTCGTACGTAGCGAACCCTAACAAACCATTTCCGGCATTTTGATCCCATCGCCACCCAGACTACACACCCCGCAGAAATTACAAGCAAATTGAAATCTCGAAGCATCCTCACCATCCTCACTAAAAACCCAAGAAAACTGAGCAAATCCATTTGAGGACCAATTATGGGATGCACTACCAACAGAATTGGGATAATTTCTGCGGTGGTTGTGGACAGGTTTTGCCAAAAAACCCGGCCCCATATATTTGTTGCCTTTTTGCGCCGAATGTGAACGGCCTGCAACAAAACTTCA